AAATCTACTTTTTGGTATTTGTATACATTGAATTAATCTTATTGGACGGCTAGTTATGTATATGTTTTTAAATTGAGCTATCTTAATTTGTAAAAGTTACGAATGAAATGTCATTAGTTGTATTTATGTAGTGTTGCTGAAAATATTAAAAAATTTAATTATGGTACGGAACCGAACCGACCCGAACCGAACCCGAACGGTTCCATAATTATATTTGGACCCTACGGGTCCATTTATTAAATACCCGAAAGTTTTGAGTCGATTCGGGTCTCTTCAGAACCGAACCGAACCGACCCACGGACAGCCCTAGGTGGGAACGGTCGCAGGAATAATTGCCTGAATCGGAGCAATCGTCGGAGAAGAGTGGTGACCGGAACAGTCACCAGAATAGTCCTCGAAACGGTAAGGGTGGTGGAGGTGGGGTGAGTTAATTATATTATATTAGAATTAAATATTTAATAAATTTATTTAGTAATTAATTAATAAAAATATTTTTAATTAATAAATAAATACATGAGTTTTGCATTTTGAAATTTGATACTTGAAAATTGAATTGTGTCTTTTTAACCCCTGACTTTTGAACTCTTCCCTAGATATAATTACCAATTTGATGCTAAATCTCCTTCTCTAAAAAATGTGATTAAGTTTGTAATTCATTCGTTTGAGCATGTCACGAATTTCTTGAACCTTGTATTCCGTGGAACCGGACTAAATTCTTTTTACCACTAAATTTATATCCCTTTGAGAAAGTTAAAGTCTCATGCCTTGTGTATATATATGTTGATTGTAAAAATACATCACTTTATATTTTCACATTGTCGGTGTCATTAATGTCACATGATCTTCTACACGTGAAATAAAAATTAGATAACTCAAAAAGGGAGTTGTTCAGTTCATTATAAGCAAGGTAGGATAAGCCAATATCCCTCTTAGCCTTTAGGTAAACACGACGACAATTAACAACTTATAAAGAAAGAAGATGAGTATCAACCGATGTACCATTTTCTTATAGAATAATGAGGCTTTTTTACTACAACTCTACAAGGAAATGTTTGATAGTTGAATTATTAAAAGCTGATGCGATTAAAGGACCAATCAAGATTATCATCATATTTATATTGAATAGAAAAAATACCATGCCAGTTCATATTTCGTCATGAAACACAAAGGAAAGAGAACCCATATAAAAAAAGAATCAATGCCATGGCAATATTAAATTTCTTCATGTTCATTACATACTAAGTTCAATTCAAGAGCCCGAAAATTGCATCTCAAATTGCCAAGCCCGCAATGTACTTAACTCCAGTAGAAGGTAACCATGTATTTCCCATTATGAACTGAGACACTGTGAAAGTACTTGCTTGAGCCGAATCATTAATTGCATGGTAACCAGGCCATTTCACTCGACTGCCCAAACCAGCTCCGGGGCCGTAATTCATGTATTCACCATAGAATAAAGTACCAAATGCGAATGTCTCATTCCATTCGAGCCATCCTTCGGGCCTAATGGCATTGCTAATGTATGATTGCATAATTACAGTACGAGAATATTTCTTCCACGGTCGACCTAGGTAGGTTGGTGTGGAGTTCAATGATGCTAGCACATCAGGCTCTGCCGATATGTTACAAAACTGGATGGAAAAGCCCGTATTTTCACCTGACTCCTTGCGACCTTGTGCAGTTACGGTGTTTTTCTGATTTGGAAGGCCTTTTCGGGCTAGAATTTGACAGTTTTGAAAGACAACAGTACCATCACCGAACATAAAATCGACTGTACCGGTAATGTGACATTCTCTGTAGAATTGGCGCATCGAATGTGCATATAATGTGTCCTGATACCCTCTCATACCACAACGGTACAACACTGAGAGGTCAGAGTCTGATAGGAAGGCAACTGCTTGGTGATTTTCAGGCCCGGCTGTGTTCTCAAATGTTATGTCCCGTGCTATGAAACCTTTCCCTTTAACAGCTGCATTTGACACGAATAACAAACAAATATACAATCTAGATGTTAATGTCACATAATTATAAAATGTACACTACTTTGTCAAGTCTGTGTACATTTATGCGTTATGTAGATATACAATCTAGACGTAACCCAATATTAAATTTTCTTACAAGGTTGTCAAATTTTAGAAAAACATGGAGCCCATTGGGACATGTACACTAGCAAGAAATATGGGTCGTTTCATGATACATTATTTAAGGCATGTTATATTAATACTTGAGTATGGATAATATTGGACAAATAAATTATATAGGTCAATGGACTAATAGACCAACATGCCATAATTCGCGTCTCAATTGTAAATTGGGACATTACAAAAAATTCTTATATTAATGTTTTACAATAGAAATTTATTCGACTACAACGTACAATATTTAACGTATCACCTCCACATTAAATGTTGCAATTTATATGGACTAAATCAAAGTACTACATTGGGGTCCCGGATCTTGTATTCAAAAGAATGTCACGTTATACTTTATGCACTTACATATATACCCTAATAATGCAGTGGAAAAAATAAATAGTTCATGGGTAATATAGGGAATTGAAAATGAGATTAACGATTGTTCTCACCAAATGTTGCAGTACTGTATGTGGTCCAGCCATCAACATAGTTTCGATTACCCGAAATAACTGTAACATCTTTGCCATCTCCAATCATTATAATGTTCCATTTCTTCCTAGTGATATTTACATTTTCTCTATACACACCTTTCTTGATGTATATGACATATCTTTTGGTGCTATGATCGGGAGCACTCGAAACAGCATCCATTATGCTCGTGAAATTCCCTGTGCCATCTATAGCCACCACCACATTTGGTGTCACACCTTTGGTGGCTTGAAGGAGTTTCCGGTCATGGGATTTGAACCAATATGGAAATTGGTCATTGGTTATAAGCTTTCGGCCACCTGAACGATCACCACTGCCGCTAGAACGGGCACCTTTGGACGGCGCTTCATTAGGAGATGGGCGTACCATGGAAAGCATGTCACGGACTAAAGAGGTGATTCGGTCGAGGGTACCCGACACCAAACTTTTGACAAAGCTGTCTGTGCCCGCAAAACCTTCTAGGCAAGTGTCTTGGTTAGTCAATGTCCCACTTAGCCATGTTTTCATGTCAGCACTCAAGTCCCAGTTCTATTCTCCTTACCTGTAACCGAAGTAGACCCACAATTTGTAAAACATACTAAAAACAGAGAAAAAAAACTTAAATACATATCAAACCCCTAAAGTCATAGAAGTCAAGTGACGTCATAGTATATTTATTGATCTTGGTACAAGTGAAATTTAACATATCACATGCATGCCAACACAATTTGTCTACTATACCTTATTCTCGGTTGCATCTTTGGTAATCACAGCTCGAAAATTCATAATAGACTCAGATCACAACTATCGAAATTAATAATTGATTATCTTCGTGATATTCATTGACCGGATCTTCTCAGGAACATAGTTTTTTCTTAGGGTTTTGTTATTTGTCTAGGGCCATGCAGGCCATGGACAAACAAAGGCGCAGCAATTGCTTGTTCTCTTGAAAAGAGGAGGCAAAACCTAAAGGGTTATGGTCCCCAATTCATATGCAATTTTTTCATTATTTGTGTTATTCTATCAATACAAGAATACAAGAGAAAACATATTGAAGAGGAAAATCCATAAACCTACAATCAGGAATCAAGATGGAGGTTTGAAGCAACTAAATTGAAGATTTAAAGATCAAGATTCATTATCCAAGTCAGAAATCAATGGATCAAAGTATGTTCTGCGTTAATTTAAAGTTCTTGATGGTTTGGCACGAAGATCTTGGCAAGTTTATAAAGTTTAAGTTTCATTAAAAGTTTCAACGGGCAAAACCTAAAGGTAAACAAGCAAAACTTTAACGAAAGCAAACCAAAAAAAAGGTACCCTTTGAATTCTGAGAAGCAGAGATTGTCATGCTCAGTTCATCCATCGAAAAGTCAAGCAGATCAAGACAGTCAGAAATGGCAGTGGACAGCCGGAGATCATCGCCAAAGATGCCGGAAAATTTGGATACAATGGACATTACCTGCTCGACCGCCTCGATCGTAGACCTTACTGAGCTTACAAATTCCGATGCCGGAACATTTAAACACTCAGATTGAACAAAATTACCAATGCAAAACTGTGGAGCCCATAGAAACAATACCATCAAGAACCAAGTTTTTATCGAAGCAGCCATTTTTACACTTCCAAGGTAGTTACTTTTAAGCATGCACAAATGTAAGAGGATGAAATAAATGAATAAAAAGATGGGAAATAAATAGAGGCAGTGTGGGGGTCGGGGTGCGTGGGTTAGGATTAGGAGGCAGGTGAGGGTATTAATGAAGGTACTGTAAAAGGCAAGAATGCACTTGCATGGTCATGGTGTCAGCAATTCTTCTATATATATTGAAAGATAGGGGTGGGGTGGTGTAGGGTAAGGGTGGGTTTGGGCGGTTTCGACGTAACTGTGAGTTTTTGGAGAGACAATTTTTCATTCTTCTTTGTACATTAAACCCCGTCGGCGCATCTTAGTAATGCGTGCCAGCTTAGTTAAAGCTTCTTTGTTCTGCTTTGGAAAAATTCTCAATTTTATTCTAATTCCCTATCAAATTAAAATATCTAGAAATTTTGTAAATAATATTTTCTTATAATTAATAAGATTATGTGGCAGGTGTGGTTACTCTTCATTTTTTTGAAAAAATGCATTTTTTTTTCTTTTTCTTTTCTTTTCTCTCTTTTTTCAATCACATTTTTAACAAAATAATGTAACACATAAATTCAAAACTTTTTTTATGGAGCCTAACGGGGACTTGATTTATAGGTAATGATATGTGATTTCAAAATGATACTTACAATTTAGAGTTTTCTAAATATTGAGGAATTATTTTTAGCCCGAGTTTGGTGGAGATTAAAATCCAAATTTCAGTAAATTTTGATAAAATGTATGGTCGAAAAGTTGTGGATCTCATAAAATATGTACTTAAAATTAATTGTTGACTTTTAGTTAAATTAATATTTTAATTTTAATTTCTACCAAACATGAGCTTATTGATAAAAGCTTGTGAATTATATTCTTTGAACCATTGAGGATTTCTATGAGAATGTGGATGGATTTTGCCAGATTGTCAGATGAATTTTACCAAAAGCAGTGACATAATCCTATTTGGAAGTAGATGATTTGATTTAAAAATGTTGACTATATTATAAACAGTTCAATAATAGATATCATGGGACATTATGGCAAGAATGAATTAGTCAATGATTATGGCATTGGATAAAAACACTGATTCTGAGGGCTGCAATTATAACGTAAAATTAACCTGTCCAAAGTAGATCCTCAAATTTATGGACACCAATGTTTGACATAAACTTGTCAATTCATGGGCCGAGTCAACCGTCGTCAAAACTTACTTACCAAGGTTGTAAATTATAATTTCATGTTTTCTTGCAGTAATAGAATTCAAAAGAAATTTGCCCAGTAAGATAATTATTTTCATAAAGATAGCCAATCCAAGATTTTAATTTTTTTGCACGGAATATTGATCGCCTGTGAAATCATGACTGCATTTAAATTGATGATCATCCTGCACAAATCAAAATACTGTTTTGATATTTCGTCGGTTAATTTTGTCTTCAAAGTTGAAATAATTGTAATTAGTTATACGATCTAAGCACAACCGAGGTTAGGTAACACAAAATCCGATGATATGTTTTATAAGTGGATTGGACAGTGCTCGATAAGAAAAATCTTAAATAACTGACAAAAATCGTATCAAATGTGACAATTTTAAATCATATTATGTTTGATGTACCAATGAGTATTCCATTATTAGATTAAAATTTTGTCAATTATATTGCTTAGTTGTGTTGAGCTCTATCCAACGTTGTAGTCCTTTATGATTTACGACAATGACAAAAGATTAAAGACTCAAGACGGACCAATTAATTTAAATTAGACAAAGAAGGCAATCACATGCAACATGGTAACATCAACAAGTCTTTTTCCAAAGTATTAAATCCTAAACTGTATTGCTTTAGAAAAGAGGTCCCAATAAACGCGTTGTTTCTATGCTTAATTCATTAAGAAAATACAATTAATAATCGCGTCTTTTTCTTTTTCAAACTGTTTTTTCTCCTTTTTTGGAGGGATTTTTGTAATAATTCAGAACTTTAGAATAATTAAAGAAACCGTACTTTAAATTGGTAAATTATTAACTTCTTTCTGGTTTAAAAAGTTGTTATTTATTGCATGAGATGAAAGGTGGGATGTAGCTTTCCGAATTCCGTGCATAATTTGGGCATACAAGGAATTGTTAACACTAAATGATTGAAATCCTTTTCTAAACAATTGTTCTGATTATATGCATCGATCACTGTCTTTTCGATTATTTTGTGCAAAAATTATGACCCTAGTCTAAACTTTTTGCATTATGACTATAGGTTGTGCGACTATGACTCTCAATCGCAAACCTATAATGAAATATAATTTTAACTAGTGTTCTAAATTGTGCGTCTTGATGGGTGCCTAGGCGCCACCAACCTGCCAAGGTGCGAGGCGTGGCAAAAACACCATGCCTAGGATCTATGCTCTAATTTTAGCGGTCAACATTAATATTAACAGCTTTAAGAAGCGCCAAGGCTCGCATGGGCGCATCTTGGCGTGCATTATTTTTTTTTCAATTATTTATTTATTTTTACACAACATAAAATTTTCAACTTTTAAGTCAATTGAATTGAAAAGCCCAAAGTTAACTTTTGAAAGGCCTAAAAAGTTACTTACCCACTTATTGATCCTCTAATTTATAGAAGGCATCGTCTAGGATTTTGTTGTTGAATTTTGATGTGAGATAGAAATCTTTTTGGATTGGCTGTAGTACATTGCATATTTGGTCTGAGCACATTGTATTATGCATTTGATTTGACTGCAGTGTATTATATATTTGGTTTGGCTGTAGTATATTATGCTATTGTATAAATAGTTATTTATATTTTATTAAGTTAATTGAACATTTTTCTATCTTTTACTAATTAATAAAAATTCCCTCTAAATATTTCAATTAGTACTATTATAATATATCTTGTTTGTTGTTCAAAAGTATATTTATTTTATTAAGCTTTAAAAACTGCATTTAGTACTATAATTTGTATGTATTATTAAATAATTTTTAGATTGATTAAAAATTTAAAATAATAATAAAATAAAAAAAAGATTTTTTTATTAAAAATTTTTATTTAGTACTAAACTTTTTTATTTTCTCATGTATTTATTTTAGTGACAAATAACATGCCATAAAAAATGAAAAATTGCAACGCTAATCCCAAA